GCCTCTTTTAAGGGAGTTTTGCTGTCAGATTTTTAAAACTTGATAGCAAAAGCTATATATGTAACGAAAATCAATAAGCTCAGATGTGTCATCATCTGTAAAATGTTTGTAATAATTTTAAATGTTTGTAATAATTTTATATATAAAGATATACATTTTTTTATGCGACTACTGTTTGATTTAGTTTTAGTAATTGAAAAAATAAACATATAGAACTATAATAATCCTGGGAAAAGATATACGAAAAATGTTACCGGAACACCTTTTTTGAAAAAGTCATGGTTCAAAAATTATTTAATTATTTTGATATTTCTATTAAGAAAATATTTTAGTTTTGAATAATAAATTGTTAACTGTTGAATATTATAATACAATACAATTAATATCCAAAAATAACAAATTCAAATATTATTTGAATGGAAAAAAGATTATAACATTTTCAGCTTCTGTGAAAGAAAATGCGAATTTCGCTGGCGCGATCATGCTTGATATAACGTTATTATATGCGTATATACGTATTATATACGCATTAAAGAATCACTCAAATTATCAGTATATTGCGCATTACTGTCGATCGAAGTAATAAAAGTCAGTTTAACTCTTTTGCGCTTAATGCGAGAGTCATTTTAGAAGGTGATCGCGATTATTTTCATGAAAGATTCAGACCATGAGAAAAATACTTAAAGCTTATTAAAGCTGCAAATTATTGAAATGTTAGGAAATCGGAAATAAATGTTTATAAAATATATTTACGGAAGATATCCCACAATTTTTGTATTCTCTTTTAAATCTAGTAAATTTTAAAAATCAAGACTGTATAAGGTAATGATAATAATAATTTACAAGTGAGATATTTTCGTAAACTAAACATAATTATAACGTTTGATTGCACAATGTCACTAATTTATTGTATTTTATATGATACGCGATGATTGAATTTATTTATCTAAGCAGCATACCATCATGTATCCTCATCAGTTCAAATATTGCTGTTTTAATTTCGTCACTTTGTCGGTTGATGCTCGAACACATGTATAAAATCGCGAAAATGATAACTGTTTACGAAGCGATAATCGCGTTTCATTTAACACTCCCGATGCATTTTATGTGAAGCATTCACTTGTTTACAAGTGAAAATTGCAAAAAGCAAGGAGCGGTAAAAATATTTACGTTTATGAAACTGAAGGTGCGTTCCGTTTCGCACATGATACGCATGATGCATCAATTGTCCTTGTTTAACATTTGATAAGCAATGAAAATAAACGATGCATTATGCGCATTATGCGAGAAACGGAACGCACTTTGAGCAATATATATATCAGCACGAGCAAAACATGGTGGTTCTGGCTGTACTCCACTCATGCCTTATGACATTATCAACATTCGCGTGTTGCAACTTTATTCGAATAATTTATTTTCAATAAAAAAAACTAACTTCACTCCGATTCAACGTAGAAATGATAAAATGCAATCTTAATATATTATGTGTGTTGCTAAATATCCATAAAACTCCCAATCAGGGGACTTCCCTCTAACAACCTTGATCTTGACATATATTGTTAATAATAGGGTTGTTGAAAGGATCTCCTTTGATCAGGAGTTTTACCGTTTATGAACTATAGGTAACACTCCATGATGATTGCACAATTTTTCATTTAACATTTCTAATGTATATTTACACGCGATCTTGACTTTTCATTTTTCAAAATTAATAAAATGCGGAATAAAATGCGAAAGAGATTAATGTCGATTTCTACAAATGTACATATTAACTTTTATCATGGTTCAAATTACTTTTCGTCTTTTTCTAACTCTTAAACTTAGAAAAAGAGAGATGAAATTAGTTGATATTAAAATTAAAATTACCTTGGCAGAAACAGACATAAGTAACGCGATCAAACCTACAAATTGAGAGACAAGTTGTTGAGAATGTATTTTAGGTGATACTATAATAAATTAAAATAACAGCTTCTATCACCATAATTACATATGTCCATTTTTAAAAATTAAAAGTTCTTAATTAAACTAAACTGTTAAAACGCTAAAATTTCCAGTGTATTTCGATAGAGTTATATATGCAAAACTTTAATTTCATTTTTCCCCAAAAAACTTGTACGGAAAAAAAGATGTATTAATATTAACAACATTAGCAAACAGCAGTATAAAAATCTTGTTAATTTAATGATAATATTAATAAAATAAATAACATTTTATTTAAACAAAAGTAGGATGTATTAATATTATTAATGAATTAATAAAATTATTTTCAATTATAAATCTCTGTCAGCTAATGCTAATAATTTTTGTTTTTTATACTATACATAAGAGAAATTATTTTATGTTTTTTTACAACACACAACACAATACAAATACAATTGACATTTTTTTTAAACTTAAAATAATAGCAGTAAATCATTTTGGAAGAATTAAATAGAAAATGTATATAGAACACATTTAAATTTAAATATGTACATTCTCTTTCTTTAATGGAAGCAAAATTGATGAATACATAGTGATTAACTCGTCTTTAAATATTATTTTATTCAGTAACATATTTTTCATCATTCAAAAAATCACAATTCATATATCTACAATAATATTCAAAAATGTGTAATTAGTATTGATTGATTAATGATAATACTTACAATTACCATACGTCAATGTCGTTAAATGATATTTTAATATATCAATGATAATTTATTTTCTACAACTGGAAAACGAATGATTCGATTAAATGCAAGCATAATCATTGAATCATTATAATAGTTGCTTATGTTTATCGATTTTTGCAATAACGTTACAACTGATTTTAATTCTAATAATTGATTTTCTATTATGAACATCAATAACGTTCTACAATGCTAAAAAAGTTGAAATAACTTAAGATTTCTTAAAACTTTGCTAACAAACTACTCTCTTAGAGCAATCGTACTTGTTTTTGCTCAAAATGGACATAATCTCTTGTTCAATAAACATAAAAAATAAGAGCAAAAAAATTAGAAGAAAATGTGTATCATATTATAATTACATTTCTAACTAAATAAACGCTGTGATATACATACATACAAAAATACATACACACACGCATGCACGCACGCACGCATTCTTGATCCTTTTAGAATTAAAATATTTCACATTAATCAATTCCATTTGAAAATACCCTCGCAGTTTTAATTGAGCACAAAAATCTCATCTTAAATCTACGTTTCAAAAGCAAAATGCAAATATTTTCTCATAACTTATATTTTATATACAATTCAATGAAATAATGATCTGTTTTAAAAATATTAGAAATCAAGGAAAAAATGAAAGAGAGAGAAATTAGAATAAATCTAGCTATCGTAATTTAACGCGTCAAATGACAAACAAATCTCAGAGTTACAATCAAAGTTCTACTGGAGAATGAGAGTTCAAACATAAATTATCCCTCAGCTACATATATTTATGTTTACTTAAGCATATAAATCACCTTGTAAAATCATAATGATAAATATGATAATATATTAATCACAAAATATAATTCATAATTCATGCAAGAAAGCTAAAATTTATTTTCTGAAATCGTACCATATTAATTCATCTTTTGTGCTAGTCTCATATACTTTACGTTACGAATGTAAGTCATTCTTTTGTATTATAATATAACATTACAAATTATGTGTAACAGGATTACATATGAATTGTCTAAAATTAATGATCCCCAAAAAATTCTCTCATTGTTAAAATATGGAAATATATGTGTATAGATGAAAAATACTTTAAAATATTTCTTTAATTTATTATCCTCATATCTATAATTAATTTATTTGAAGAAAGTAAGTCTTTGATTCCGCGATATTACATTAACGACAATAAACTCACGTTAATTTTGGGGATTATTGATTTCTTTTCCCTCAACATTATACATCGAAGATACATATATATCTACGATTTCCTAAGCGAATCAAACTAATGAAAATGCTTATTAAAGTATGTGCCATACTATAAATGCATAAAGACTTACATAGTGATAAAAGTGCTAATTAATTTATCACGCATTATAATTCACACAATTAATTTCAAGTTTAAGGATAAGAAATATTTTTTTATATTATAAAGACAGAGAGAAAGAGAGAGAGTATTGATAACTGTTTGTCAATGCATTTAAAAGTTTGTGCAAAAACAAAATTTACTTTTTATCTCATCACAATTTTTCTCCACATAGTCATGAAATAAAATGATTTATAAATTAACTTTATTATAGCCAAATTAATATTAATCATTTGTTTGAATAGAAATCAGTTAATATAAAATATCATGTAAAAAAAAACGCTTTACTGTTAGATTAAAAACTGACCATTTAATGGACGATCAATGTACAATGTATAATTATTTAAAAACATATCATGTTAAGAGTTTAAAAATTTCATCTCAATTACAATATAACAAACAAAATTATTGAGCAGTAATCTCATTGTGTAGATAGTGTTTTAACTTCCATTAGGTTGGGGAAGACATTTAATATTAATATATTAACACAATTGTCGGATTGCTGCGTCTTACGGTAAAATAACGAATTCTCAAGGAACCACACACGTACGCACACTTGCACTCATCAAGTAATATTTTTTCCTAATAATGAAAGTATATAATAATTATCATTCTTATATGTTTAATAATATTTAATATGCAATTCTGTCTTTAAAATGCTAATGATGCCTCGGAGTTCTCTTGAGATTGGATCGTTAATTTATTATTTTGTTGCAAAGCGGATTTATTATTGAAAACATTAAAGATAAAAATATGTCTAAAGAAATACAAATTTAGATATTGCAATTTCAAAAATCAGTTCAATAAAATTCAACAGTTCTGATTTAAACGAGAATAACACAATAGCCAATATATGAAATGTTAGAAAAACACTATTGGCATGAATTTATAAACAATAAAATTAAAAGACAGAGAGAGAGAGAGAGAGAGAGAGAGAGAGAGGATATGGAAAGAGAGAGAAAGAGACTTCTTGCTTTTAAAATATTGCCAATCTGTTTCAAGTTGAATTGGCTTATGCAATTCGTTGAATGATGTGAATTCCGCTATCTGTATGCACAGGTGACGATAGCTCGCCAACTTTTAGCGCGAATGCTGCCTGTTCAAACGGTTTCTGCATTGCACCCCGGCTGAAAGGTCCGAGATCACCGCCGCGTTTTGCCGAACTGCAATCACTGTATTTGGAAGCGAGTTCAGCGAACGTCGCTTTACCAGATGTGATTTGTTCTCTATAAGCTGTTAACAAGATATTTTTGTAGTAATTACAACTATTAACAACTGTTAAATATTTCAATACTACAGTAATTGTCGAGCAAAATTCGGACCGGTATTCATAGTCAGATCTTTTATTTTAAGTAAAATGCTAATACGGCTTTCTGATAGGTTCATAACATCTTAAAGAGATATAGGATGTGTTCCAAAATTGACTGCCAGTACTGAAAACCTATAGTGCTCGTAACGTAAACTATAGATTTTCAGTACTGGCAGTCAATTTTGGAACACAGCCATTGAAGCTGCTTATATTACCAATAAAACTAGCATTTTTGACATTTTTATTCTGGAACTATTACGAAGAAATTGGACAGAAATGGAACGTCAGCAAAAACGCTGGTTTTATCGATAATACAACTCGCATTCGCTATCTTGTACTGACATTAGAAATTTTGAATGCAAAAATATTCCGTTTTAACATGAACAAAATCTATGAAAAACGCATTTAATCCTAAGATAACTAGAAAGAAATCATAATTAATTTTAATTCAAAATTTAAAATTTATTTACTATTTAGTTTATTATTAATAAATTTATTATTACTATTTGGAGACTTCTCCTTAAATAGTAATAATAAATTTAGTAATAATAAACCAAATAGTAAGTAAATTTAAAAAATAATGTTATCATTATGTGTTATAGTAAAAATTGAGCAAGAGTTTAGCGCTTCCTGTAAAAATTATAATTGTAATAAAAATAGAAACTCTTCTCTCTAGGATTATAATAATACAATGAAACAAACAGCACATCAGATAGGAATATTGTACATAAACAATGAAATAATAAATAATTCTCAGACAGAAGATCGTAAAACTATAGACTTACATTTGACCAACTCAAGAGCTTCTTCTTTTGATCTAGTAATACTCTCCTCTCGCCAAGAAGAAGGTCGTCGAGAGCTTGAATGTTTCACAAGTAGATGAGAGCATTGTACTTCTTCAGGTCCATCTGCCTTGCCATTGCCAGATGGATCTGCAGGCTTATCTGGCCTATCCCATTGACTTTCCTTGGTATAAATATTTAAATAATAATGTTGACCTACAATAATTTTATTCATTTCAGGAAGAAATCAAAATACTAATATAGATAAATTAAATTATTAAAGTATTATAGTTTTTTTTTATTACTGTTGTGCTATTATTGTTGCTTTATCACCTCTATGATTTCACGTAAGACAAATCAAAATAGATATTCAAAAAAACTAAGAATCAGTTTCTTGAAATAAATTAAAAATTAATACAAATTCAATGTTTCAAAAACATGAAATCATTGCCTTAAAAACACAAAATTAAAAACAGTGGATTTATGTTTTTAAAACAGTGCTTGTGTTTTTAAAGTAGTAATTCTTTTAGATCACGAACCAATAATAGCAAACACTCACAGATCCGCTTTGCACTCGAGTTCAGTTTGCTGATAGTCGAAGTTGACAGATATCTTAACCTCTAAAATCTCGAACGCTTAAGATTTAAGTAACAAAGCTCAATATAAATCATCATCATTACCATCGTTATTTATCTTTATTTATTTTTATTGCTTCAGCGCGCTATTCGATCTTTCATCCCTAACCGACTACCGAGGTTCTACAATAAATTAGTAGTCGAAAATTCTACGGCCCTGAGTCTTAATCGGTGAAGTTAGCCATGGTTGGCCAGCCAACTTGTACGATTAAGGTTAAGATTTCCGATTATCGACAAAAGTAAACTACGACGATTTACTACATACGTAGTACGATAAATTGTCGAGGGAATATCAACGAGTATCGGATATTTTTCTTGATTGCTGCGAATTGATTGGCATCTGCGAAATTATATTATACATGTCTAGGTGCCCGTAATCTCGCTCCGAGCGCGACCGCGAAATCGTGGATTCCATGATGCCCCGTGACGAAACTCGCGCCTTAATAAGATCGCTGTTCATGGGGTTGCGACTACAAAAATCATCAGTTCCAACATACCGGTCGATCTGCTGAGGCGTTTTTCCCATCCCGCTGGTAACTCCTCGTCCGCCATTACTATCGTAGTAAATTCGGTCTGTGTATTTTGCTCTTCTTTTCCCCGGCACTCTTTCACCGCAAACCCGTAGGCATAGTAAGAATAGATTTGAATAGACTGAGTGTTTCTAGAGTCACTTATTAATAAGAGTCAAGACATGAGCGACTCATCTCGAGATTGGTCAGCGCCATGTTGAGATCATGTGATGCGTAGTGAAAACGTAAGTTGGTTAGGCTGGCGCATCCCATGGAGTGAAAATCTAGACTATTTTCAGAAATTACACCTAGATAACTCTAGGCTATAGTTTACGTTACGTATATTATAGCAAAAATACACCCAAGAATTATCTGAGCACATGGGCGTCAGAACTCACGTTGGTAGTAAGTAGTACAAAACCAACAGAAAGTCGCTTACCAGCACGAGTTCTGATTGGCTACTGCTCTTTCGCTTTCCGTTTTCCGCTTTTCTGTCAAAGTGTGAACTCGGCCTAATGTAGGATTCACGCTTTGTATGTACGACGGTCGCGCGATATCCAATAAGAGAGCTTCTTTTCTAGATATATAGCTAACAATATTTGCGCACAATAGGAGAAATATTAGGAACAGATATTGGATCAACCAATAGTTGAGTGAACGTTCGTTGTTATTGGTGTATTCTTTTAGATCATCCAATCAGAATTTTAGATCTAGATAAATGCACCAATAACAGCGAACGCTCACTCAACTGTTGAGTCCGATGAATGTACCCATTGTTGTATGTGTGCCGTAAAAAATTAACCAATCATGGTTGAGTGATTTTTTTCTTATTCAACTGTGATTGGTCAATTTCTTACGGTCGACATCCAACGTCGACATACGACTTATTGTAGAACAGGCCTGAATTACTAAGCCTGTTCTTTACTGAACTGGTGCACAGAGTGCAATAAGTTGAAGTGAAACAGATATACGTTTGTTTCATTTCAACTTATTGCACTATGTGCACCAGTTCAGACAGTGCAGGTAAAAAGAACAAGCCTACTATTTACTGTGACTGTAGCTCCGTCGGTCGGTCGGGATCCCAACGATTCGCATCATGATGGTTTCTTCCACCATGATCAGCACGATCGGATCTTGGGATCTTGCTGGCTCGATCTGTCAGAACTGTCAGAAAAGTCAAACGTGACATGAGAGGTTATATAGATCCTGCGTGATAAAATTTTCACTTATTTCGCATATATGGAATATTTATACATTCTGTAAACAAACAGGAAATTCCACTAGTATGACGGTCAGGACGCTTTTACGTTTGGGCGACATAGCAAACAGATGGTGCGGATTTTTATAGTTTTTACTTATAAAGCCCCAGGCACAATGCGGGGGAATAGCGATAAGTATAGAAATAATTTGAATATTTCAACTTATCAGAAATTGAATACACCGGAATATACAATTTCTGATAGGTTGGAATTGTGTTATTTCTATCGCTCTATTCCTTCATATTGTGTTCGGAGCTTTAAATTTTAAACCATCAATTTTTTGCGTTAGTTAATGTAATTTTTTCTTGTTTTTTCAATATTAAGATTTATAAAAATTCATTTTAAACATTAAATTCTTTAAAGATTCCTTAAAAGAAAACAAAAATTTCTATACTAAATTATAATGAAATTTTCCTATAAACTTGATCTAATTATCTAATGATTGGAAAAGTGTCTAACATTGATTCTACAATGAGTCGGTAGTCGGTAATTCTAAGTCTTATCAGTAAAATTGACCAATAGCCAATATATATAATTATTACTGATTTGATCAACTTCACTGATTAAGAAGACTTCTGATTATAGACTCATTGTAGAATCAGCTTAGAAGATTGTCATTAAGAAGCAATTTATTAGCGATCTTTTGATCTAAAATTATTTCATATATTCTTATGTTTACATGATAATCTTTAATTTCTTTTAAAGCATATTTATATTTCTGAACTTTCAAGAAGATAAATTTACCTATTCTGTAATTCTTAACAACTGTAATTGTAATGTTAGTGTTGTAGGCCCTTAGAAATTCAAATATAATTCTATATTTTTTTATTAAATCATGTAATAAATTATACAAAAATAATCTATTTTCTATACTACAGTTAATTATAACATTGAATCTTTTTCTTTTGTTAATTACAAGCCATGAGATATTTCATAATTTAATAATAATGTTTTATTTAAAATAGTGAAATAATTAAAAATGTAGCTTTGTCAAAATTATGAATATGTCTGCATTTTGTTTAAGATGTAAAGACTATAAATTTATAAAATATTAGATTATACATAACTTATTTATATTCATAAGAATATATATAAATTATATTTTTCCTCTTTGTTTCATATTTAAAATTATTTTCTAAAAATGAGTATTTTATTAAAATTGTATTTAGACGTATTTATGGAATTTTAGTGTTCTTATAAACAGACAGTACTGCAAAACCAAAATGCAAGTATTACAGTACAGACAAATAAGAAGTTTGAAGAGGTCACAGATCTTTAAACCAGAGTCGCCTTTTCCTAATGCTCATATTGAGACTGGAACTGTATCGTCTGCAAAATTGTGGAAACATCTTGGTTTCACCATTATGGTAAATAAAACAGCAAAGCTATTTTTATCTATTTAGCAGCTAACTTCTCTTAAGTGAGTAAACAACATATGAATATTTTGAATCTTTGTTTCATTAGTTTAGCGGAGCCACTATAGCAGGTGCTGCAATTTGGGAGTATGAACGTATCAGAAGTCAGACATACAGGCTAATCCATCGTTATAGACAGTTTCGAGTTAAAGTATGTATTGTTTGCAGAAACATTCAATAGATACCTTAGTATATACTATATACAATAATACATTAGCGAACAGGATGGAAGAGTGAAATGGAATCATGGTGGCAAAACTTGACTGAAGGACAGAAGATGTTTGTTCCTATATGTTTTATAAACGCAGTTATATTCTTAGCATGGAGAGTGCCAACATTGCAAAAGACAATGGTGCGCTATTTTTGCGCCAATCCAGCTTCTAGTAAGTGATTACTAGATCATCTTGAGTAATTAATACTTGCATTTTGTAACAGTTATTTTGCTTTTAAATTATCGTAAATGTTGATTAGGATAATTCTTATATAAGGTGCATCATGTTGGTCTATGGTACTCTCCACTTTTTCTCATTACTCTATAATCCATTTGGCTGCGAACATGTATGTGCTGCACAGCTTCAGCACAATAGCTGTGACAGCGTTGGGAAAAGAGCAATTTTTGGCTTTGTATTTATCAAGCGGAGTAATTTCCAGCTTCGCTAGTCATGTGTATAAAACTACGTTTGGAGTACCAGGCCTTTCCCTAGGAGCGGTAACTAACTTTAATTTGAACAATTAAAGTAATAAATACTTTGTATATCGCAGATATGTTACAAATTTTCTGAAAGTAATGATATGGTTTCATGTTTTTTGTATATATCTGTATATTTTCTATTGTATCTACCACTAAGTTTTCTATTGTATCTATATATACTATAAGTTTCAACTTTCAATAGTTATTTTTATTTTAGTCAGGAGCAATTATGGGTATTCTTGGATTTGTGTGTACACAATATCCTGATATACGACTCAGTATAGTTTTCCTTCCTGTACTCACATTTACAGCAGGTATGGTAAGTATCTTATTCAAGTTACGTGAACGCAAACGTAAAAATATTACATTCTTCCATGACATAATGGTAATAATAATAGTAAAAACTATAACATTCTTCCATGATATAATGATATATTATTTTTTACGTAGGCAATTAAGGGAATAATGACTTTGGATATTGTGGGTTGTATCTTAGGATGGAAATATTTTGATCATGCTGCGCATTTGGGTGGTGCATTATTTGGAATGTAAGTTTTATTACATGGTATAATTCTCTTATAAAATATGCAATTTTTACTAGTATATTTTAGAGAATGTAAAAAATAAGACATATCAACGCATAATTTTCTAAATTTAAGAGCAATACTATTATAAATAATTTATATAGAAAAAAAGTTTTACTATTTATCAAGAGAGTAATGTAAATAAAAAATTAGCAAATAATGATATATAAATCATGCACACACAACATACATACACTTAATTTTTTTTTTTAATTATAGATTCTGGCAAACGTGGGGTAATGCCAATATTTGGCAGAAACGAGAGCCTCTTCTAAGTCTCTGGCATGGATTCCGAGAACCCCCAAGATCATAACATTTTCTTTTTCTATATTTAGATTTCAATTTATTGTACTGTTTATGGCATATTTTTTCTGTGGATAAATTGTGAAGTTTTAACCATCATGCAATAATCAATTTGCTAAAAAAAATATAAAAATTCAGATATACACTATATATTTCTATTATTTATATTTCATATATTTACAAGTACTAAAATATAAATTCTTGAGAAAACAAAAGAAAGTATAAAAGTTATGCCATATCATCCATGTAAAATTCACAAATTATGAATATATTTGTAATATTTTTTAAATTTATTTCAATGTAATTTTTATTATAAGCATAAGAAATATAAATCTTGTACATTATGATAGCAAAGTCTCAATTTTTTTAACAATCTTTGGAACAGTAATTTTGGATACAAACTTAATTTTTAAGATATTTCATATGATGCTTAAAGTGATCTTCAATAAATGTAGCGATAAAGTAATAGCTATGATCATAACCATCTTGAAATCTGATAGTTAGTGCAATGTTATCCTTATCTTTTGCAGCATTTAGTAGATTCTCTGGTAATAATTGGCCTTCTTTCAGAAACTTATCATCCTTGCCCTGTAAATATACAAATTACAGAATTACAAATTGTTTAAATTAAAAAATTAAAGTTAAATGCACTACGCACACGCACGCGCACACACACACATACACAAAATAAATTAAATGTTAACATATCTTATGGTGCATCTACATAATTCACAAATCGCAAAACAGTTTGCAAACGCGGACACAAAATGAAGATTTGCACTTTTGTATTGTATGCAGTTTGTATCTACATATGTTTTGCATGCAATGATCATCACTCTGCAATTAGCATTTGCAAATTACGTTTTGTAATTTGCGAATTATGTAGAGACACTATTAGAGACGCGATCAAAAATTATTAAAACCTGATCGATTAAAATATCCAAAGGTGGGCCATTGTATTTGTTTGCTAGTTCAGTAGCATCCCATTCCTTCCATGTATCATTGTCTTCTGATCCTCCTAAATATCCTGAGAAGGCTTTTTTCCCCCATGGACATGAGATTGGATTGCTTATGGGTGCAAAAGCTGAAACTGCCTTGAATTGTCCTGGGTTTTTAAAAGCACAAATTAAAGCGCCATGTCCTCCCATGCTAAACAAGAAGAACAAGCATTTTAAAGAGTATATGCTAAAATGTTTTTGCATTGTAAAGGATTATTTTTTATACCTATGGCCCATTATAGACTGTTTAGATGACAAAACTGGAAATTCTTTATTAATCAAAGTTGGCAATTCTTTTGTAATGTAGCTATACATTCTGTAGTTTTTTTTCCATGGTTCATTTGTCGCATCTACATAGAACCCTGCGCCAGTACCAAAGTCATAACTGTCATCCTCTCCAGAAATATTCAATCCTCTTGGACTAGTATCAGGTATGACAAGAAGTACACCATAATTTGCAGCATATTTTTGTGCTCCAGCTTTCTGACTAAAATTAGCCTCGGTACAAGTGAGACCAGATAACCAGTAGATAACTGGTAATGGTTCCTTTTCAGATTGAAATGGTATATAAACAGCAAATCTCATCTTGCATCCTAATTCGGTACTGTTAAACAATTACAATTATTTTTTCAGAATATGCAAAAAAATCTTCAAAATAAATTGAGGAACAAATTCTTAAAGATACCTGGTTTTTTGTGCAGTATAAGTAGTATGTTTTATATATTTACCTGTTGTGTGTATATACTTTCTGCCATCCTCCAAAAATTTTATTATTCTCAACTTCTGTTAATTCAGACATCTGAAAATGATATTAAATCCTTGGAAAATTATAATCCGTTCTAAATAATTGCACAATTAAGTATTTTATTTGCCAACAAACTTAATAAGTAGATTATGAAGGTTAGAATTAGCAGACAAGTAGAATTAGGTTAGAAAGAATAGCTAAATTGGATAGATCGCAAATATCTTTCGGACAAATACAAATATATTAAGTTTATCGATATAAAATAAAATAATGTAATAATTTTACTTTGCAAAAAATTTTGAGCAAAAATATCTATGCAGCAAGTATAACTTTTAATACAAATGAACAGATATATTTTTAAAAAATTATTTGTGTAAGAAATCAGTAAAATAAATATAAAATATTTCTATATAAAAAAAATATTGATTTACGAGTACACAAAAACATCTTCTGAATTCCTTAAAAAATTTCACCTACTGTATACTTATCTTCAGTATATATACCAAAATATACAATCAATATTTACAATGTTGGACTTTATTTGAACTGTTTTCAGCTATATGATCTTCGATCAGTCCGACCTTCTCTTTTTCTTGTTTCTTAATGATTCCCAGCATTCCCGCTGCCCGTAGGCGATCACTCTGGGTTGTCCTAGAGGGGTCGATTGTATATCTCAAAATTAGGTGAAAATTACAAAGGTGAGTGAATTTACTAAAATTTCAATAATTTAATTAGTCAATATATCTAGTAAATTTGTTTATTTTTGTAATTTTTATCTCATTTTAAGATACACAGTCGATTCCCAGATTATATGAAATTATAAGGACTATTACTGTCAAGTTAATAGATAAATTGAATATTTTTGACTCAATTATGTTTATAATTCTATATCATTTGGGAAAATTTAGGAAAAGCATTTGAATATTTGGGATAATAGTATATTTTTCTTTTGCTTATATTAACATATTTTATCGCGTCAAATTATAACAGACAATGACTTTATTTAATGCGTTTTATGAATAAAAAATCGATTTGAAAATCATTTGGGGAAGACATCATTGTTATTTTTATTTGGAAAAAGTCATTATTTCGTAATTCAATAGATATATAACGTATTTGATTTACTGACTCGACTCGACTTAATTCGAGTCTCAAAACGGTTTGTTCTATGTGTAGCTGCAAAAGCTAAATTGTACAAATGCAGCTAAAAAGAACAATCCATTGACTCGAAATCAAATCGTGTGACAATAAATAAAATATGCTATTACACATATTACGAAAACGAATGAAACTCTTGCAAAATTTGCAAGCATCTAACAGAACGATTCCGTGATTGACGATTCGCTAATCCGCGCTTACGCACGATCCGCTGCATGAGATTGCATGGGATCGGACGTAAGGACAAAATTGTCGCGTACCTAAAACGGCTGACAAAAAATACCTTTACACATTCAAGGTGGATGCGTCGGAACACAGTCGAAACCGTATATCACTCATATACATATATATATATACATATACATCACACCCATAAATATAATTTGAAAAATATTAAAATGTGCGTGAACAAAAGAATACAAAACAATGTTTTAAATTTTTAAATAAAATATTTTTATCAATGAAGATATTAATTCACGCGTAAAAGCTATAAAATAAATTGCACATCTCATTATTTCTTATTTGTTTTAATGGATATTTTTTGTTTATTATAAAAGCTGTTGTAAATAAATATCGAATTAGTTCCAATTTAGAAAGAGAATTATATATTTTATTTGCATTATATGCTCTCTGAAAAAAACCACTAATAAAAAATCCTAATGCTAATAAAAATTCTACAACTAATATATGTGATAAAATGTTGATAACGAGATATATATGTAGACAAATCCAAAATATATACTTTATGTATGAAAAATACATAAAATCAAATAAAACGCGAGCGCGCTGTATATTTACAATAACATCTCTTAATAATTATTTCAGGATATTATTTTTTTTTTTGTCAATTTTCAATTATTTTTCAACTTTTTTTGTAATGTAAAACCATTTCATGTAATTGGCCAATATGTCCGCTTCTTTTTCGGTAATTGCATTGTACAAAGATGCGCGTATTCCGCCCACTGATCTGTAAAAAAAAATTTTACGGTTACATATATCTAATTTTTTTATTAAACATTATAACAAAAATGTAATATAATGGTAATAGAGTATTATTTTTTATTAAATAATACAAAATAAATATGCGCCTATATTTACATATATACATTTACTTAAAAATGTACTATATTAAATTTTTTTAATTATAAAGAACCTCTAAAATTAGTGGAAACATAACAGCGGTTTACCAGACCGGCGTTATTGTTGGTATAATTTTTTAAAATTACCGTTTAAATGTGAAAATTCATTTTTTGTTAAGTATTTGTATAATAGTTATCTTTTGAGAAGGAGAGAGAGAGAGAGAGAGAGAGAGAGAGAGAGAGAGAGA